AGCAAAGTTCCTTGATTATTACGCCGGAATGAGAAGTAATACAGAACTACAGAAGAGTCAAGTTTTAAATAGGAAAAATATCGAAACTCTTTGGTCATTTTTGAGCAAGATGCTAACGGTCTAATCAGATTCAATGAACTGATAAAACTCTAGGGGAGTGTTCCTTTAAACCATGCATGCAGGAATATGATTAATCTATACATTAAGAAAGGCCAATATTTACATTCATGCTCTGTTACTCAACAGCAGCCCATCACTGATGTCACATCAGCACGATCAGGGTTCAGTCGTATTCCAATGTCTCGGGGGATGAAAACTGGAAAAGCCATGCTTGGAGCTTTGGGAATCACCACAGGAGTTAAAATGGAAACAAATCCAGAGAACCAAGCCATGCACACTGACCTGAAAAAAACAGCTGTCATTAATGGAGCCCTACAGGGTGGAGGGAAGGGCTGAGAGCATTGAACAAATAATATACAAGTTTACATTTACTATGTCTTGTATATATGATTGTCACTTTCTGCAATTGTTGTGTTGCAGAGATGCAAGGGAAAACACAGATTTTTTCTTGGGAAAGAACTAGGGAAAGAGAGTTGGGATTTGGCAACATTGCTTTTACAGTAGCACCAATGCTGCAGTAATAATGTATTTTTGCAGGGCACACTGATTTAACTTCCTACAACTCTTTCTTTATGTAAAAAGCTTTTTTCCCTGAAAGTTTGAGTTGGAATAGTTTGCAAGAGCACAAATATTTACACAATTAGGCTGTGAAAGCGACTAGTGAGTAGATTAGAGTATAGAGGTGTGGTGACGTTTAATATACCCGACAAACCCCAAAACCCTCTTAAGTCCCATTTAGACACTTGTTAGCAACTGTCTTTTTCAAGACAAGTAAAAACGTGAGGTAAAAATGTGACAATATGTTGAATTAACCACAGAACTAAAACACAATCAGCCATTCAATGTTCAAAACTGAGTGTCCACGAGCAGAGATGGCAGCATGGAGGTCATGTAACAGATCTCTTAAGGGTTTATAGAATTATTTGGTTGCAACAGATGTATTTGAAGAATATTTATCCAGTAAAAAAAAAACTGCATATCAAATTAAATAAAATGGTTTATATCAATGACAATTTTTATTTACAAAGAATGTCTGCTAAATTATGTATTTTAATAGGATTGTTCATGATGTTTAATGGTGTATAATTTTAGCATTTTGTGGAATGTACGTATCAGACCAAATGTACGTATCAGACCAAGCATTTTCTGACTGTTGTTGTGAAATGAAATGCATTGATAAGAGCCTCACCAATGAGTATGATCTCATTCTTTCGGTTGAGATGTTAAACCGAGGTCCTGACTCTCTGTGGTCATAAAAAATCCCAGGATGTCCTTCGAAAAAGAGTAGGGGTGTAACCCCGGCATCCTGGCCAAATTCGCCCATTGGCCTCTGACCATCATGGCCTCCTAACCATCCCCACATCTACTGATTGGCTTCATCACTCTGTCTCCTCTCCACCAATAAGCTGGTGTGTGGTGGGCGTTCTGGCGCACTATGGCTGCCGTCGCATCATCCAGGTGGATGCTGCACACTGGTGGTGGATGAGGAGATTCCCCCTTTAAAGCGCTTTGAGTGCCCAGAAACGCGCTATATAAATGTAAGGAATTATTATTATTATTAGCTGTAATTGATTTTTATTACCTGTTTGTAACTAAAAATGTTTTGCTTTCAGATGAGTCAAAATGTCTTTCTTTTCACTTCTTGCGCGCACACACACACACACATGTTGTGTTTCCATGTTTTATGGGGACATTCCATATAGGCGTAATGGTTTTTATACTGTACAAACTGTATGTGCTATTGCCCTACACCAACCCTACCCCTTACAGGAAACTTTCTGCATTTTTACTTTCTCAAAAAAACAAATTCTGTATGATTTATAAGCTTGTTTCCTCATGGGGACCCCAAAAATGTCCCCACAAGGTCAAAATTTACTAGTATTACTATCCTTGTGGGGACATTTGGTTCCCATAACGTGATAAATACCAGGTACACACACACACACACACACATATTACAATAAGAAAAAAATATTTATACTTATATTTTATAAATATATATATTTAATAACTCGAAAAACAGCTTTTAATGTGCACTTGCAGACATTTAAAACAGAAAATCTACAAACATAAACTCTGTAGTTCGGAAAAGTCAAAGTGTGAATGCTACTGAAGTTGAGGTCCATAAATTGTAATCAATCATATACACAAATCATGCTGATTTTAGTTGTTTCAAATCATGGAAACAAGTCCATGAAGCTTAAAATCAAATGCCTTCCAACTGTCACCATCATTCCCTTAAGCCTTATTGTGCCTAAGATTGCAAAAGTGTATGACTTATGTATGACTTTAAAGAAATTCCAATTTACAAAAATATATTACTATGTAGCAGCACAAAAGCAAGCAGAGGCTCCATTTAAAGTACTACAATAGTAAAATAGTATGGTATCAGATGGTAATGGTACTGAATTACACTTGATATTTGTGTGGATATTTCTTGATATAATATTACCATAAAAATTAGATAGATAGATAGATCTTAAGATTTTATTGTGAAAAAACTCTCATTATTATTGTCATGTGGAAAAAATAAATGCACTGTACGTAGTTAATGCTCAGTGCTGGGTAGATTTCTTACAAATTGTAGTCCATCACTGATTCTGAATTACATGACAAAAATTTTAGTTAGTAACATAATTCATTACATTACACATTTGAGGTAATAGCCTATAATCAGACTACTTTTTAGATTACTTTTGACTTAACTTGTTTATCACATTGATTTTAAGATAATCTTGTACCATATTGATATAAAAACACAAAGAGAAAGAAAAGATATTCCATTCTTTGTTATTACAGTTTTTCTCGATTGCTTAAACACTATCACCAGGCTTTTGAACTAAAATTTCAAAACCATAATGCCATTATCAGAAAGCACACCCATTTCCCTAAACTATAAACACTATTCCCCTTTTTGACACATGAGTCAGATTTGTTGAACTTTCACTGCAAAACTCTTAATTTCTCATTGCCTAGACCATGTTGTCATTTAGAAAGCACTACAACTCTTAAAAATAAAGGTGCTTCACGATGCCATAGAAGAACCTTTTTGTCTAAATGGTTCCATAAAGAACCTTTAACATCTGAAGAACCTTTCTGTTTCACAAAAGCTTCTTTGTGGTGAAAAAAGGTTCTTCAGATTATAAAAAGGTAAGAAAGAGATGGTTCTTTAAAGAAGCTTTGACTGAATGCTTCTTTGTGGAACCAAAAATGGTTCTTCTATGGCATCGCTGTGTAGAACCTTTTGAAGCACCTTTATTTTTAAGAGTGTAGTAGTCAATATTGTTCACTCAAGTCAGCATAGCTTGAGCTCAATTAGCACACAGTTACCCACGTGGAAACACTAAGAGTCCAAATGTATCACACACCAATCAGAACCTTCAATAGATAGATAAAAGAGCCCAAGTCAGTTCATTCAGTTTTGGAACAATGGATCCAGAGAGATGTGATTGAAAAGGTCGAGGACACCAGAGAGGAGGAGGAGGAGGAAGAGGATGAGCAAGAGCAGTAAGGAGTGGAGGAAGAGGTGAAGGAAGAGGAAGAGGAGGAGGATGAGGGGCAAGGAGACAAGGAGTCTCAGATGAAATTCGTGCCACTAGTTGACCATGTCCTTGTCCATGGTATGACTATGAGGGAGGCTGGGCAATGAGTTCAGCCAAACTTAAGTTGCTTCACCGTCGCCTCGATCATAAGAACCTTCATGTTACTCTACTGTAACTTTTGAGTGCTGTACTCTGTTACAACACATGCATCAAATTGCCTTACATACAGATAGAGTTTCTGTCTGCTTCCATTTTGTAAAAAGGATGTTACAGTAATAGTAATCAGTACTTCTATTTTTGTAGGACACAGAGACGATGGAATGGAAGAAGCCTGACTAGACACTTCAGCTGATGCCAGGAGGTGGATGCCTAGCTAGGGCCAGTGTAGCCTGTGATGTTGACGAGATTCTCTGGCCTGACCCAGAACAAAGACGTGATGCTGGGGCAGGATAGTTTTGTTGTTGTTTGGTGTATTGTACTGTACAGTACATTAAGGAATAAAAAATGTGCAAATGTATACACACGTGTTCATTATGTGAAAAGTTCCTTGAGAGGGAAAACCACAAGCAACATAACTTATTACTGCTTTTGGTTTTTGCAGTATTGTTTTGAATTGATCTCACCAGTGTGTAAGACTATGTTGTAGTGTGTGTGTTTTTGAAAGTGTGTGTGTGATGTCTGAGGCCAAAGTTTGGTTTTTCAGCAAGAGTGAATGGCTTTGAGTGTAGAGCTTCATTTTGACCTGAAAATGTGTTTGGGGAATTGGGTGAGACGTTATGGATTTGCGTTTACCTTTTTGAGAATACGAGGCCTAGTTTCAAGAAATGCGTTTAAGCAATCGAGAAAAACTGTAACAACATGAAGTGCATTAAAATCCCAGCCTTCCAACGACATAGTAACACATGGTTAAAAGAAGCAACATTGAGAAAACACTTAAAACAGTAAACCCAGTAGCCAAACGCTGCGTGCTCTCTCAATTAGTGTGTAATTATACGGCAGTAGGCTACTTTAGAAAGATGAAAAAGAAGAATTAGGGAGAATCAATAAATTGTGAAGGATTTATTGCAACTGTGTGAATATCATGTAATCCATAAAAAAGTAACTGCAGTCTCATTACGAGCAGGATATTGTAAAATGTAATATAATGTAGTCACAAGCAGCTAGGCTATTTTTTTTGGACGTACATCATTTATTACCCAGCACTGTTAATGCTGATTTAAAACATTGTATCTGGACAAGACGTTTGTTATTAGGCTACTGCATTTCCGTAATGAGTACGATTATTATTTTTATTTTTTTTTGTACATTGCAGAAACGTCACGTCGGGGGAGGGGCGTCATTGCTGACGTCACGACGTCGCTTCCAGTCCACTGGCTGCTGTACTTCCGTGTTTACCGTCTTGTCCACCACGACCAACAGAGCTACTGTTCATGGCGCTATAGCAGCCATACACACAGCTGTCAATCAAGCCGTCGTATTTGAAGTTGTCGTGCAGTGTGCTCGCTGTCCGCGCGGCTCGATGATGGCGTCCAGCTATAACGCGAAGGATGAGGATCATCATCCGGGATCCGTGGGCTCCGGCGGCCCCGGCGCTGTCAAGAGCAAGAAGCCCGATAACACGGCCTTTAAACAGCAGCGTCTGCCCGCCTGGCAGCCCATTCTGACCGCGGGCACCGTCCTGCCCGCCTTCTTCATGATCGGACTCATCTTCATCCCCATCGGCATCGGACTCCTCGTCACCTCTAACAACATCAAAGAGTTTGAGGTGCGTTCCGTCGCCATGGCAACACCACACTGCGTTATTAGGGCTCGAGGTCACCAGTGTTGGGGAGCGACTAGTTACATGTAGCAGAATTACATAATTTAATTACAAAATAAATGTAACTGTAATCAGTTACAGTTACTGACAAAAAAAAATGCGTACTTAAATTACAGTTATAAAAATGTTAACGATTACAAAGAGGGTTGCATATGATTTTTTATTTTTTTCAAGCACATACAGATTTAATTGATTTCTTTCATAAATTGCAGTGACTGCCATTAAATATGAGACACCAGTGTTTCAGGACACAGCATAGGACACTATAATATTTTATTTCCTATTTGGGTTTATGCATTTTTTCCAGGGCATTGTTAGATTCCAGTGTTCCCTTTCATAGCTATGCAAAGATTTGATTTCAAAAACAGTATCATAGCTATTAAACTATTTCTTGTTATGATTTTAAATCTGCATTTAACCTCAGAATGATCTCAAAGTAAGGTCTGATTTTGTGGTGGCTGTGTTTTAAAATGAAATGATTATAATCTTAATTAATCAAAGTGCTGAAGGATTAATAGTTGAAAGCATTAGAACTTTAGAGAAGTAATCAAATGTAATCAGTTACATTACCTTATTGAAGTAATTGAAATAGTTACACTACGTATTAAATTTGAAGTAGGGTAACTTGTAATCTGTAACCTATTACATTTCCAAAGTAACCTTCCCAACGCTGGTGGTCACGTATAGCAGATGTCGACATGTTTTTGTACTGTAACTCGTGTCGGTTCTGTTGTAGATCGACTACACTGGTGTTGACATGTCCAGTCCGTGTTTCATCTGCTCGCAGAACTACAGCTGGAACGGCACTAGTGCGTGTACCTGCTCTGTGCCCTTCACCCTAGACCAGCCTTTCGAGGTGAATTACCCTCTTCCTCATTTCCAGCCATCCACCTACAACCGCACTAGAAAACCTTAAAGGGATAGTTCAGCTAAAAATGAAAATTCTGTCATTAATTACTCACCCTCATGTAGGGCTGTACGATCAATCGGAATGGAATCGAGATGCGTAACTTGTCAGTGAACTCTGTAGTAAATTCTGCTCCATCTGAAAGCACGTGACGATGATTACCTGCTGATTACAGAACCGGCTTTACTAACAAAATCTCATTCGATTAATCGTGCAGCCCTATCCTCATGTCGTTCCATCCAAACCCGTAAGACCTTTGTTCATCTTCAGAATGCAAATTAAGATATTTCTGATTAAATCCGAGAGCTCTCTGACCCTCCCATAGACGGCAACAGAACTGAAATGTTCCCAGGTCCAGAAATGTAGTAAAGACAACGGTAAAATAGTCCATGTGACATCAGTGGCATAACTTCAATTTTAACTGTAACTTCGTTCAACACTTCTTCTTCTCCAAATCACGTCTTCGGCCATTATCGAGAGTACCTCTGTACGTAAACAACGCATGCATCGTGGCACTCTCTATAATGGCAGAATGTGTGATTTGGAGGAGAAGAATTGTTGAATGAAGTTGTTATTTTTGTTTTCTTTGCACACAAAAAGTATTCTCGTAGCTTTGTATAATTGCGGTTGAACCACTGATGTCACGTGAACTGTTTTACAGATGTCCTTGCTAGTGGTCGACCGATATTGTTTTTTTTGACAGCCGATGCCGATATCTTGGAAAGCAGGGTGGCCGATATAAAGCCGATATCATTTTATTTATTTTAATTAATGTTTAAGAAATTTGAAATCATTTGAAAATGGATTAAATAGTAAATGTGTTAAATAAACATACTTATACTTTAGATGACAAAGTATTTTTCACAAATAAATAAATATTTAATAAAAAATATAATTAAAAAGGAAGTAAACACTGTAACCAACAGAGCACTCAGTATTCTGGGAAGTTTGTGTGCATTGGGAATCATATTTTTTCAAATAAAGCCAAGGTAACACTCAATTCTACATACAGAACACAGTGGAAATGACATGAACGTGACAGTGGGAAAATGCATAAAGTGTAGCATAATTTGAAATCACGGGTTTAAAGTTAGTCGATCGCGCGTCTCCAGTGAAGCTGAACCCTCCTCTCCTCCGATCATGCAGGTCACATGCACACTTCACAAGATCTCACAGCTGGATTTGACTAAGTTTGCAAGTTTTCTGAAATTAAATGTTCATTAGTCATTCAAAGATTTGTTTAAATGATATAAATGCGTATTTGCTGAATGCTGATGGCAAACGAGAAAGTATTATAATGTTTGCCTTTCTATTACTAATAATATAAAAGCAATCATTATAATACTTTTTGTATACATTTTAATTCATTTGTTTAACAGTTCTATCTGATTATTAGACAGACTTCTATCCGTATTAGACAGAGCTGTTAACGACGACGGCGAACAAGAGGGAGAAGGTGAGCACTGTGTACAAAATAAAAGTCCGTCGCGCCTTCAAAATAAAAGCCTTGAACGCATCGGCCAAACAGGAAAACTTATCGGCCGATGCCGATATTTAAAAAAATGCCAAATATCGGCCGATATACTGGCCTTGGCGATATATCGGTCCACCACTAGTCCTTGCTACGTTTCTGGACCTGGGAACATTTCAGTTGTGTTGCCGTCTATGGAGGGTCAGAAAGCTCTCGGAATGCATCAAAAATATCTTAATTTGAGTTCTGATGATGAACGAAGGTCTTACGGGTATGCAACGACATGAGGGTGAGTAATTAATGACAGACTTTTCATTTTTGGGTGAACTATCTCTTTAAACACTTATTTCTGCATACATTTGGTTACTTGAAGATCAGATCACAGTGCTAATCTTATAACTAGATGAAGAACCCAATTAGATCAAGAGTGAGTGTCTGGTGTGACCAACTTGAGATTTCTAATGTTTTATTATGCTGTAAGTGATGGCAAGCCATCCTGTTTCAAGAATACCAAAGCAGCTTCAAAGCATTACACTTCCTCCACTGTTCTTTACAGTTCGGATGAGGTTCCTGTTTTTATATGCATTGGTTTTTGTCACTATTCAGTTAAACTTCCCTTTATGTTCAAGTTCAGAGTTGGTAAGTTTTTTGCTTGTTTGTTTTGGACAGTCTCTTATACTCACCAAGGCTGCATTTATGTGATCAAAAATACAGTAGAAACAGTAATATAATAGAAAATAACTATTTTCTATGTGCATAATATACTGTATTTTATTCCTGTGATGCGCAGCTGAATTTTCAGCATCATTACTGCAGTCTTCAGTGTCACATGATCTTCAGAAATCATTCTAATATGCAGCTCAAGAAACATTTATTATTATTATGAATGTTGAAAACTTTTCAGGATTCTTTGATGAATAGAAAGTTCAAAAGAATTCGATTTCTTTTTTCTTGTAATATTATAAATGTCTTTACTGTCACTTTTGATCAATTTAATGCATCTTTGCTGAATACAAGTATTGATTTCGTTCAAAAAAATCATACCAACCCCAAATATTTGAGCTCAAATACATATTTTTCTGCATTAAAATTTCATTTGACATTAATGAAGATAGTCTGTCCATTGGTTTGTACTGTTACTTGCTTTGGTATTGATTGTTCAGCCAAAATAACATTAAAAATACATCTTTTCAAAACAATTCCAGTTATCAAAAACATGATACCTTTGACTTGTTTCACAATGGATTGTGAAAATTACACAGTATTTACTTTGATACCTCAAATCAAATTAAATATGGCATGTACGATGTGGCAGAGTTGCCTAAACTTTCGAATATGAAAGGCCAAAATTCAAACTTGATTGAGGGTCATGATGCAAAAGTAAATGTTGCATTATTCCCAAACACATTATAGTAAAATATATTCAATTAAAAAAAGAAATAATGAATTAAAATGTTAAATATATATTTTATATTGCTTATTTCATTATTTTTTTAAGTCAAATTTACATTTAAATGCAAAAAAAATAAAAAATAAAAACGATAAATTAAGATATGCTTCAATGTTATGTTTAATTCCTATTTTTCCCCCTTTCTCTTGTGATATGGCCAACTTGGAGGCTTTACTTGTCTATACCGCTCTTTATAGTTGTATATATTTATCAGTAGCTTCATTAGGTTGCAGTATTTACTTGGTCTGTGGACTGTTTATTGGTCAAATATATCGTCTAAAGTTGCATTAGCTCTCATGTATTATGCATTAGCATTTTAGAGGAGATTTTATTGATCATGCTTTTGAATAGGTTAAAATAGAATTGTTTCCCGCTCATACATTAACAGGTTTCAGATCAATTATGTATAAACTGCCTGTGAACGTGCATCTATACAGTAAATAACCTGATTGATCTTTTCTTTTGTAGAGTAATGTTTTTATGTACTATGGCCTCTCCAACTTCTATCAAAACCATCGACGTTACGTCAAATCAAGAGATGACAGTCAGCTGAATGGAGATAAAAGCTCTTTACTGGTGAGTGATTTGAGGTAATGCCTTTGAGTATCTTTATGAACATGAGTACAATTTCCTGGCATTTTGTTGTGTATAAATAGATGGTTTTACTGAACTTTATAAATATGCTTTTTATGGAATATCTAATGTCTTTATTTACTGTTTATTTTTCATGAAAAAGTTGTCCTTTTTCAGCCGTGACAAGCGTATAGCTAATAATTTGTGAGAAATCCTGTCATGGAATGAAAGCACAGAATGTCGTATCGTTTTCAAGTGTTCAAGTCTTTGTTCTGCAGAACCCCAGTAAAGAGTGTGAACCCTATCGAACGAGTGATAAGAAGCCCATTGCTCCCTGTGGTGCCATTGCTAACAGTCTCTTCAATGGTAAGACAAATACTAACGCTTGTTGCCAGGTTCATGTGTAGAACTTTTCACAGGCTGTGTCCCAAATGATGCACTATACACTCGGCCATCTAGTGTGCAAATATCTTCACTTGCGGTACACGTTTAGGAGAGAATCTCAGCAGAGGAACAGGGACGCTGGACACAAACTGAGCCACACAGAACAAAACTCTGCTGCTCCACTAACATGTGCAAGTGAATGCTGTAGCCAGTTAATAAGAGCCGCAAAATAAATATCACTGCTTACACAAGCTGTGTGAAACACACCTAAGGTCTTTCTGACTGCTCGCTGTCATTTGTTCTCTCTCATAATTGTAGATACTTTGGAGCTGTTTTATAACCATCCAAACGGAAGCAGAATAACTATTCATCTGGTGAAGACGGGCATTGCTTGGTGGACTGACAAGCATGTGAAGTTCAGAAACCCTGCAGGAAACAACAACAACCTCTCCATTGTGTTCCAAGGTGCATAAAGCTAAACCCTGTATATGCTACGGTATCAATACTTTGCTAATAAATCTGTATTCCATTGCATTATGCTCATTTTGAAAATCAAAGTAAGCATTTAAGAGTGCTTTCACACTAGCACTTTTGGTGCGCACCCACTTCCGAACTCGGGTGCGCACCCGCGAACCGTACCCGAGTGCGCTTAAAAAGGGTGGTCTGGGGTACGGTTCACGTGAACTCCGGTACGGTTCGCTGCTGATGTGAACGCAGTCGTACCAAATCGCGGAAGTGAACCGCTTATTAATGATGTATTATTTGATAAAAATGTGTGTTTGTTTCACTCTCTTTCCTGACGAGCGTGACTGACGCGCTGCAAACAGAGAGCTGAATATCTCATTTCTGTTCGCCTTCAGCGTTCTTTAGAGCATTTGCAGTACATTCGTAAGATAGACGTAAGTGCCGTTATGTGCCGAAGCTTTGTAAACAAAACGAACGGTTAAAAAAACGTAAATATATAAAAATGCAGAGAGCAATGTTATGCATTTGCCGCATTCTCCTGCGCCGTCGTTACTAAGCAACGGGGTAAACAGCTGCTGGCTTGATGACGCAAACGAACCGCGGTTCGGACCCAAATAAAATAATATGAACGTAGCCCAGCGGGGGAGGGGGGAGCAATCGAACTCGGGTTCAGACCAGGCAAGCGAACAAAGTGTGAAAGCACCCTAAAGACACATTATTAGGAGATATAGAGTGACGACTAATATTTCTATTATTTTATGTAAGTATCTGCTATACTTTTATATTACAATACTTTTATTTACATTACAAGCATCAGAATTTAATCTTACTGTTTGGTCGTATAAATATCAGCATCTGCACCAAATTGCATATTTTTGCTCAGTTTGAGCCTCTTGAGTAAAAGTGCGGTGTTTATTCCTACTGTATCATACTATATTATGAGTAGTGTTGGGGGAAGTTACTTTTAAAAGTAATGCATTACAATATTGCGTTACTCCATAAAAAAAGTAACTAATTACGTTACTTAGTTACTTTTTATGGAAAGTAATGCGTTATGTTACTTTTGCGTTACTTTTTAAATCTGGACAGGGCTTGTTTGTTTTTAAAATAAAAAATGTATATTTATTGCAAATATAAAAGCCTTTTCACACCAAAAGTGAAATGAATGCGCCTCAGGCTGAAGGGAAAGTACAGTAGAATGCAGAAGAAGACATTTAACACACTTCAGCAATAAACAAACACACAAATGTTCGTCTAGAGTAATTTGTGCTTATTAGTACGGTTGAACTGGATCATCGAAGCTCAGAAGCAAATAGAATGGGATTAAATACATAAAGGATATCTGTGTTGTTTAACATTTAATTATTGCAGGTTTGCGTTATATTCTGAGTATATTCTGAGCATTTTTTTTATTCATTTTGAGGAATACTGAATCTGTTTTTTTATTTTGTGAGTGAGATGAATTAATGCATATTCCTATTTATTTTAGAACTACAGTAGCATCTGATTTCTCTCAACATGGGGACAGGAGAGCTGCCAATCAATAAATTGGAAAAAAAAAAGTAACTTGCGTTACTTATTTGAAAAAGTAACTCAGATATTCTCTTGTAAATTAAAAAGTAATGCATTACTTTACTAGTTACTTGAAAAAAGTAATCTGATTATGTAACTCGCGTTATTTGTAATGCGTTACCCCCAACACTGCTTATGAGCCATAGAAGCCTGGTGTATAAAATATGATACTCTTTCACGACTCTAACCAGCGTTATTGGTCCTCACAGATACAAGTAAACCTGTAAACTGGCACAAACCCGTTTACGAGCTGGACCCGTCTGATCCTGAGAACAACGGGTTCATCAATGAGGATTTCATCGTGTGGATGAGAACTGCTGCTCTTCCCACCTTCAGAAAACTCTACCGCGTCATTCAGAAGAAGAAGGACAACATGACCCCGACACTACCGCCAGGAAACTACAGCCTGGAAGTGACCTACAGTATCCTTCACAACCAAACAAAAAGTTTGGAGTTATCGCACTCTATAAAAAGTGTCAAATTAATAAATCATCAGGTGTGAGTATGAAGAAGTTGTAACAAAACTCTAATAATAAAATACTATTTCAGTTTTTCAACTTAAAAAATTTAACGTTTATTTCAACATACATTTTTGTGAAATTTAATAGCAATTTCTAATTGAAACTTGTTTTAAACCTACATTAATTTTTTCAGTGTAGCAGGTGAAAACAAGATCTAGCATATCTAGCAAGATTAGCATATGCATCTTAACCAGCTTTCACGTTTAGAACGGAAACCAAGACACTACAGACAAAAGCGTTGTTTTTCATGCACTGGGGAATTTTGGCCTATTTGGCTTTTCATAATGTCTTCTTTCAGACTAGTGGGGGGAAAAAAAACATCCAAAACACACATTTTAGTGTTTGTTTTCATGCACATTATCTATTTGTGTCTGTAGGTTAGAATACATATTTATAAAGGCTGTGAGTTTTTTCTTTACTACAGCAGCACTGAAATCATTACACCAAACTTATTCTGAAGATTTTTACAGAGGGCTTGTTCATATATCACTCACCTGATTTTACACAGCATTTTATCCTTTTTTTGGTGGTTGATGGTAATTTCTGATTTATAGAGTGATATAAAGAGAAATCCAAAATCCCTTTTGTAAACACCCGGCTTTATGGAAGTGTGTGAAATGGAATTTGCTTTATGGAAGCAAATAAGTGAATATTTAAAGCTGCAGTCCATAACTTTTGGCGCTCTAGCGGTTAATGAACAGAACTGCGTGCGTCTTGAGGAAGAACATTGTATCCGGAGCTACTTCTCTCTGTTTATGTCTATGACGAATCACGCAGGTACTGGGCTCCTCCGCAGCGGTACCTACCCGAACCAGTCTGAAATAGTCTGAATATGAACACTTATTATAGGTGTACCGTAGTGATTCGGGACAAGCCGAAAACACTGTTTGGAAAATGGATTCACGGTGTACTCGCTTATTATATACATTTTGTAAATTTTGAATACAAAAAAAGTTACGGACTGCAGCTTTAATTAGATAGTGCCTAATTTTCATATTTAAACAATTTCAGAATTTGAAACTCTTAATATAAACAATTAACTGGGGTGATATGTATGATGTTGTTACATTTTTTACCCTATTCACTTGGAGTGTCTTGCCTTAAAGGGACAGTTCACCCCAAAATCAAAATTTTGTCATCATTTACTGAAGCTACACGTTGTTGCAAACTGGTACGAATTTCTTTCTTTTGTTAAACACAAAAGAAGGTATTTTGAAGAATGTGGTTAACCCAACAGTTGCTGGTCCCCATTGACTTCCATAGTATGGAGGAAACAAATACTATGGAAGTCAATAGGGGCCAAAAACTCTTTGGTTACTCACACGTTTATATGTGACCCTGCAGCACAAAACCAGTCTTAAGTCGCTGGGTATATTTGTAGCAATAGCCAAAAATACATTGTATGGGTCAAAATGATCGATTTTCCTTCTATGCCAAAAATCATTAGGATATTAAGTAAAGATATTTTGTAAATTTCCTACCATAAATATATCAAAACTTAATTTTTGATTAGTAATATGCATTGCTAAGGACTTCATTCGGACAACTTTAAAGATGATTTTCTCAGTATTTAAATTTTTTTGCACTTTCAGATTACAGATTTTCAAGTAGTTGTATCTCGGCCAAATATTGTCCTATCCTAACAATCAATGGAAAGCTTATTTATTCAGCTTTCAGATGATGCATAAATCTCAATTTCGAGAAATTGACCCTTATGACTAGTCCAGGGTCAGATATCTTCTTTTGTGTTTGACTGAAGAAAGAAACTCGCACAGGTTTAGAACAACATACGGAGTAAATGATGACAGAATTTTAATTTTGGGGTGAACTATCCCTTTAAGTGTAAACAACTGTTGAAGTATGTTTGAAATGAAATAATTCGACGAGATTCTTTAATAATGTGAACCCAGATTACCCAGTGCGCAGCTTTGATGGCCGCAAGCGCATGATCCTCAGCACGATTTCCTGGATGGGAGGGAAGAACCCTTTCCTGGGCATTGCCTACATCACAGTGGGCTCCGTGTGTTTCTTCCTGGGAGTGGTGCTGCTGATCATCCACCATAAATACGGCAACCGCAACAACAATGCTGACATTCCTAATTAACTGCGTAATTATCAGCACACCGCAGTCTGTACACTGACACGAGATTACAGTCTGTCGTATCTCATGCTGCTGTACACACACAGGTGCCCAGAGGAACTACTTGCAAACGTATTATGTATGCACTGGCAGTTTTCAATGAGCTGTTTTAAGCATTTATTTCATCCACACCAAAGCTTTATATTTTATGGTTTTCTACATGAAGTATTTTAGAGTAGCTGGATCATGTGCAGTCATACAGTAGGACTGTATTTAAATGCATCCCACCACAAAAACATATCTATAATAATAATAATTAGCGCATACAGACAATGAAGCACTTTGTATTGACGTTTAAGAGACATATTGTGCAAAATAGAAATTCTCATTCGATTTTGAAGCTTGGTGAAATTCATCCATTTGGGTATTATTGCTAATGGTATGGTACAATCACAACAGTCAAGAATTATTATTATTATTTTTTTTTAATAAGAATGCAATATTTCTGATAGTTTGACTGATCGGTAAGGATGATGTTACTTTATTATTTAAAATGCTGAACTGTGAGTGTCTAGATATGCTTAATATTTTTAGTTTCTTCTTTGAAAATCTTGTTCTGTGCAATGTGTATTTAAAAAGGATATGTGTGTTTTGCAACTACTGAGGATCCTTTATCAAGCTCATGTCTGTTGTTGAGCCAAAGTCCTTTCATTTGCTCAAGAGTTGTGTGATAATAAACATCAAATGCATGAGTGCTGAGACGTGCTGTTTTTGATTTTTAGAGTATCTATGTGCTCCTAATGTTGTACCACCCAAAGACTGTGGCTGGAATGACAAGGCAGAGGTTGAGATGTTGGGATTTCATTAAGATTTCAGTTAGCATAAAGCCTTTAATGCATTTTTTAATGACTCCCAATAGCCTAGTAATGTGTCCGTTTCTCATGCACCTTGCATAGTGCCCTTTTTTTTAATGATTTTGTCGAACGCAAGGTGTTTGTAAATTTAAGAAAGAAGTTTGGTTTTATGTGTAACCTCCTCAAGTTCTTTAACATTTCTCGTACGAGTAGTAAAATAAAACCTGCTTAGCTTATCAATAATAATATTTAACCGAGCGGACACCTTGTGCATCAGTTTAAAAAAAATTACACATAGGTCCTTTTTCACTGACATTGCTATTTTATTACCAACATCAGTCCTGAATGATCATAACTACCAAAAATAATATTTCAGTATAAAACCCTTTGCCAGTTTTACATAATGTAGCTATGTATTCTAGGCCTAGCTAATATAAAATAGATTTATGAAAGGAAATTAGGGTGAAATTTGACAATTTAAGGATTGACTAAATGTATGCTGTTTGCATGAACACCCACACACATACAAAGAAATAAATAACAGAAACGTGTCTGATGATGATGATGAACGCGCGGCTACGTGAATCTTTTTTCGAGCCAATTAATTGAAACCGGACTTGTCCGAACGAACCGATTCTCTAAAGATTCGATTCTCTAAAGAACCGGACCTCCCAAACCAAACTGCTCTGTCCGGTAGGCGGCAGTAATGCGCCTCTCGCCGCTAATCCTGCGTCAGACTCGAGCAGAAGGAGGAAGTGACATTTACAAGTGTCCTTGTGCAGGTGCGGCTTCCTGAACGTTGCGGTCTGAAGGAGACATTATCACCATGTTTAGGCACTTAAGGGTGAGATTTAAGAGCTTTATGCGTGTCCTCGTTCCATTTACGCGCAGAAAGCGATTGAGAGTCTTGTCGTAACAGAGCTTGATTAGATTTGAGCAGAAGCACCGTTAGCCTAGCAGCAGCGCTCATGGCCTCCTGCTCGTTACAGAGCAATATCGAGAGTTTTCCTGTGTTTACCTGAGCTCTGTAAACACTCTAGTAGTACATTGATATGTAAAGTCATCTGATTAGTTTGACCAATGTCTCTCAAGGTTGATAAATTGGGAGTTTCCTGGAACGCGTTACAATGTGTTGGCGTTTATTGTTATTAATGCAATTATTATATACGTGAACGTTGTTTTTGGCACTTATATATCAGCTTCTAGAGGTCCACCGTCAACAGGTTTGATACTACACACTTATGAGTGTTCCACCTTATGAACATGAGATAGGTCAAGCTCACAAGTGTTGTTTTGTTTTGTAGACCCTGCAGCAGATCTCCAGAAGGACCCTGTCCAGTTCTGCACGCAGACAGCTGGAGAATAAAGTCCCTCACAAGCAGAAGATGTTTCAGGTTAGTCCTCTAGTTCTGGATTCAACCAGACATTTAGCCACTTGTTTAGTTGCTGCACCTTTTTTGTCCTCTTTGGCACTGGCTAATGGTAATGTTAAAGTTAAAGGGGTCATATGATGCTTTTTTAAAGATCATTATTTTGTGTATTTGGTGTAACAGAATATGTTGACATGGCGCTGTCTCTGTCTCTCGCTCTCGCGCTGTCTCTGTCTCTCGCTCTCTCTCGCGCTCTCTCTCGCGCTCGCGCGCGCGTGCACACACACGATGCACAAAAGTCAGAGCTACCTCCTCTCCTAGGTTCACGAAACGGTCGTCTATAAAATGCATTGCTGTTCTGTTGTAAGTAATCTTAAAGATTCCTAAATGCATCTACTTCTGGAAGGCCAAATAAAGTGCTTTTGCTTTCGTCTAGAAACACACAGCGTCTCCCTGACATGCTGCTTCAACACTAACTGCGGTTACTGAAACCACGCCTTCTTTC